CTGATCTAATATATTCTCTCCATTTCTTCCATGTGTTGACAAGCAAAACTGGACACTGAAGTATTTCTGTCTTGGGCAGCTGTCCACGGTGCCAGCCCAGGCTGAGCCTTGCAGTTTCTGCTCAGACTCCCTTGACTACAAGGAAGATGAGACATTTCTCATCCAAGAGGGAAAGAAAATGCATTTGCAGTCTCTGCCACAAGATACAAGAGCCTTCTTGCCTCTGCCGGTGATACTAGGTGGCCATGAACTATCAGAGGATCACTGAATGCTCACTTGGGAAAGGCCCTGGGAGATTGATCATTCAGTTCAACCCCCTGATACTACAGATAAGAAGTGACTCCTTCACTGTCAAAGTTGTTTGGTGCTGGAGCCACTCAAGGTTGTCCAACCTTTTGGTGTCTCTGGGCAACACTGGAGAGAGGTGTATTGGGCCGCACATTAAGTACACAAACACTAACAAAAACTGATGATCAAAAAAAATTGTTTTAAGTAAATTTATGATTTTGTGTTGGGCTGCATTCATAGCCATCCTGGGCTGCATGCAGCCCATGGATTGCACAACCCTATCAGCTTACTTGGTCATTGTTTTATCTGCAGAGTGGGTCTTTAAACAACAGAACCTTCTCATCTCCTTCATCAAAGTGCTGTGAAGTTCACATTTCAATGACAGAGAAGAAAGCCTTAAATACAATACGAATTAGAGTGCTGGTGAAAAGTGATTACTACCACATTACGGAACCCAAATGATTCTTTAGTTACTTAGAAGGCTCTTCTATGTCTTGTGGTCCCTAAGAGTTTTCCTCATCGGGAACTTCCGCTAACCCCATAGATTACTGCAAAATAATTTAGCTGGCCATGTGTTTGAGGGGTAAAACTCTACTACCTTTGGTGAAAGACCAAGTACTAATTGTATATATGTGCAATTATTTAACCTTTTTGAGCTTTAGTTCTTTCATCAGTAAAATGGAGATGATAAAGCCTACCTCTCAGGTGTGTTGTGAGAGTTAACAAAGAAATGAAAACAACTTGATATAGTATCTGACACCTAGTTGGGACCCAATAAGTGCAAATTTTTGTTCTTACAGAATTGAGGTCCTTTCTGTGAATACTAGGGGACCATGGCATATAATAATTGAGGTAATCATGCTCTAAAAGGCCACTCTCAACATTTAATCAACAGATATAATCTTTTTAAAAAATGTATTTATAGAAAAGGGAGAAGGGAGGGAGAAAGAGAGGGAGAGAAACATGGACGTGAGAGAGAAATGTCGATCAGGTGCTTCTCCTAGACGCCCCTGACTGGGGCTGACTCCAGACCTAGGCTTGTGCCCTGACCAGGAATCGAACAAGTGACCTTTCCTTTTGTGGGACGATGCCCAACCATTGAGCCACAGCAATCAGAGCAAAAAATATATAATCTTTTAAAAACATTTGCAATTGTTGGACTAGGTGCCCAGTATCCACAGATAAAAAGAAAAGCATCTGTTTCCATGGGAGACAGAAAATAATAGCCCATGCGACAAGCTGCAGAGACAGAGTGGGGGGAGAGCGGAGAGGAGGAGGCCTAAAAACCTCCCTGAGTGAGTGATGGAGGGCTTCCCTGAGGAGGCTGTCTGCCTCATGGAGAAGGGGTAGACGCTGTCCTGATAGAAGGGAGAGGTAACGCAGGGGTGCGAGGAAGCGCATTTTCCGTCATGAGGGGGAACTATTTTAGGCACTTCTGAAATAGCTAAAAAATAAAACAAAACAAAAACTTTGAGCAAGAGACAGGGACAGGTGACTGTGGGGTTTTGGTTGATTTTATCTTGCCGGAGATGGGGAGCCACTGAAGAATTTTGGGGCAGGAAGATAATGCGGAAGGGGTGAGTGGGAGGCTGTGGGAGGATGGCATCGCTGGTGTTACCCTGCGCAGAAGTGAGGGCCGGCTGGGGGAAGGCTGAGCCCAGCTCCTTCATTCATTTAGTCATTCAACAGATAGTTCCTGAGAGCCTGCCCTGTACCAGGCTGAATGCCAGGAGCTGGAAGTCAGGCCGTGAACAGGACTGGCAAGGTTTCTGTTCTCATGGAGGAACTGGCAGTAGATAAACAAGTAAACAAGCAAAGAACCGATCAGATAAGTGCCACTTGGAAAATTAAACGAGGTGATAAAAGAGTCTCTGGGGGGCCTCCCCATCCCATCCTTTTGAATACTCTCCAAGCCTTCTCTTTCTAACTTTGATTTCCCGAGGAGGCTTTGCTCCCAGAAAAATCTCTACAGTAAATAATTAACCTAGCTGTATGGGTTTTTCCAATAATAAGCCTTGCCTGAGTGGGAATAGTCAGAGCTAGTCTTCCCTAGGGCCTGGTCAGCTTGTAATTCTTGCTTCAGGACCACCAATTTTGCCAGAAGTCTCAAGTCTAAAACTAGAGGAAGGTGACAACAACTTTGAGACCTTTCTTGACATGGTTCCCATGGCAACGTATGCCCCCTTCTCCTTAGCACCCCTTGTTGTATCCCCTTTAGATAAGAAACATTTGATGGTATGGTTGGGATTGTGCGTTCTCCTCCTCTGAAAAATGCAGACAAAACTTTCTCCCTTCTGCTGGACCCTTGAGGCCAAGTGTTTCTTTCTGGGAGTGAGGAGCTGGAGGCTGGCTCATCACCACCAGGGCTCACTGGTATGTATGTCAGAGCTCCTTAGTGCCAAAGAGATTTAGGCCAAGAACAAAAAAGCAAACGTCTTAAAAGTAGCCGAAGAAACTGGGAACTGAAAAAAGCAGATTTCTCAGTGTGCCCTGTGGTCTTCCCATTTGACGCATTTACTCACTGCCGAGGGTGTTTCTTTTTGTTTTTATTTTAAATGAAAACTTTCAAAGACACAGGAAAGTTCCCTGCACTTCAGGAAAACCTAGCTAAAGCCCCAGGAGGGCCTCTTTGATTTTGCCTGGCTTTCTCTGGACTGTGTAATAGTAGTCATAGTTTCTCCTTGGGGGAATATAGCAGAGACGACTAAATTAGGCCCCCCTGCTTGGAGATTTTTTTTTTCTAGCTGGGGAGAGGAGATTCTAATAAAAACCTTTCTTTTCTTTATTTTTAAGTCTTTTTTAAAAAGCAGTTTATGCAGTACAAGGTGCTTTCACATTCCCGATGCCATCAAAATCATAAACTCAGAGCTGAAGGAATTTTAGAGGTCACCTTGGTGAGGGTGGCAAATGCCCGGCAGATATGCCACTTCCTAAACTCCTGTTTATGGTAGTAGACATTGCTAAGTGATCACTCATTCATTTCTTTTAAAGCTTTTATTTATTCATTTTTAGAGAGCAGGGAAGAGAAGGAGAGAGAAGGAGAGAAATATCAATGTGTGGTTGCCCCTCATGTGCCTTTTCCTGGGGACCTGGCCCACAACCCAGGCAGGCACCCTGACTGGGAATGGAACTGGCAACCCTGTGGTTCGCAACCTGCACACAGTCCATGGAACCACACCAGCCAGGGCTGATCACTCACTCATTATTGAACACATTTATTGGATATATTATGTTAGGGATATAGCAGGAAACCAGACAAACTTGTTTGCTATCCTTACGGAAGTCCAAGGGGAAGACAGACATTAAACAAATAATTGCATGTGTGAAGAGTGTTTTTAAAAAAGCTGAGTACAGGGGTGACAAGGGCATTGCATGCCTGGAGGTAACCTAGGGTTGGAGCAGGGCCACGGAGGGCCTCCCTGAGGAAGTGATGTTTAAGATGAAGTGTAGGGTATAAGGAAACTGAGTCTCTGAGAGGGTGAAAAAAAATTACATGCCAATATGAAAGAAGTCATAGGTCAGGGCATCCTCCACTGCTAACTGCGGGAGTTTGTATACTAAATGGGGGTAGGGGTCCAGAGGGAAACTGAAGTTGGTCCAGCCAGGCCTTGAAAAAAAAAATCGATTGACAGAAGGAGAGGGCTAGGAGAGTTGAGCAAAGGTCAGATTTATTTATCCTCCCTTTTCCTAGGAATTATTCCCTCACCTGCTATAATTTTTAAAAAGCCATAAATTATTTGCTACCTACCACGGGGTAGCAATTCGCAGGAATTCTTCACCTCCTTGCCAGATAAGTATTCTTTTTCCCGGTCTTAGAGATGAGAAAGAAAAAAAAAAAAAAGATTTAGGAGGACTAGAGCCGTACTTTCCTCAACTCCCTACTGCCTTAAAATCCCAAGGGTGAAGCTTGCTCTAAGAATAATGAGAACCGGGAAAGCGACAGAAGACAGTTGCTGAGGAGTCAGAAATAGTGCTGAGGGGCAGGGTCGGCACAGATGCCCGGAGTGTGTGGACACCGTTAGGCAGAAATCGGGTGGCCGCGGGGGAAGGGCAGGGGCATGTCAAGGCGCGAGAAGCGAAAGAGAAGGCATCCCCAAACTGCTCCAGGACTGCACTGTGGGGAGGTGCCCCGCTCTAACCACTACCCGGCCCGACCCGGCCTGGTTAATCATTTCCTGACCTTCCTTCCTCGTCTCGCCCTGCCCTCAGGATTGCCACATCCTCCGCCTCCCCCTGCTCGCTTCCTGGTCTTGCTGTTCCTTCGCCAGGTTTTACAGGGAGCCCCGATTTGGAGGCAACATTTGTAACCACCCGGGTGGTCCCTGAGGCCATACCCCGGAGGGATCGCAGGCTAGCTTGGGTGTAACGCCTGTTCAAAAAGCTGCTTGTGGCTTTCCCTAGACACCTTCCGCAAAGGAGTCAGGAGAGCCGAGGATCCTATTTCGGCCCTAAACCTTAACTTGTTACAGTCAGACTCGGTTTCCCCCGCGGTTAAAAAGAAAAAGAAAAGGAAAGAAAAGGAACTGCCGCTGGCAGGGTAGTGGGAGTTTTAAAAGAGGTATTGTGTATGAAGCGCCCGGCTAGGCGACTGTAGGAGGCGTTTAACCAATGTTAGATCCCTTCCCTTTTCAGCGACCTCACGCTCTGCAAGCCCGGGTTAGGGCGCTCTCTCCAATTTCAGTGTCTGCGAGTCCGCCCGCGCACTTGAGGTAACGCACAGGGCGAGTTGCAATTATGGGGCTTGAGCTCAAGTTCGCTGGCGCCCCGGCGGGTCCAGCCGCGCAGCGCCTGGGCGACTCACGGAGGCCACGTGTCCAGGACCTAGAAGCTGGTCAGCGCCGCACCTGCCGCGGGAGAACACGGCACCAGGACTGTTCTGAGACTTGTGCGGCCCGCTGGGCCACGGGGGCCAGGCCCTCAACCTCTCTGAGCTTGTGTCTGGTTTAAAATGGGGGCCACAGGGCCTGTCTGCCAGAATGGTTTCTATCTTCTCCTTCACACTTTATTGTGTGGCCAGATTTCCCACTGCGGTGTAGAAAAACCAACACACACCGCGCGGGATCTTCTAATCGCGAGCGCTCGCGGGGACGCGGTTAACACGGCGGACCGGACTCGCGGGTCTCCTCCCGGCGCCCCACCCTTTCCGGGGTCCCAGGAAGCCGCGGCCCGCTGGGGCGGCAGAGTTGAGAAAGTCTTTTAGTAGCGCAGCCTGACTCATGGCCACCCGCGGGGAGACTCAGGACCCCACCCGGCGGTAGTGGACGGGGGCGGAGCTGGGTCTGAGGGCGTGGTCTATCAATGGGAGGGGCGTGGCCGGCCTGGGAAGACGGAAGCCCCCAACCTAGGGGTGGCGGCAGAACCCGGATCCTGGATTTCCACGTTCTCTGGAGCGGGGCTTCTGGAACCGGCGGGCGAGAAAACCCGGCTCCCGGAAGCTTTTGCTTTCTTTGACGCAAGGGCTCGGGACGCAGCCGCCGTCGACCGAGCGCCCAGCGAGGAGCGACCCCAGACGGAGCCTTCAGAGGCCCTCCGCCCCCACTTCACCCGGTCCCGGAGCCTCGGTCCTCCTCGCCGCTCTCCTTGTGGCCATGGAGTGTCCGCACCTCAGCTCCAGCGTCTGCATCGCTCCGGACTCAGCCAAGTTCCCCAACGGCTCCCCGTCGTCCTGGTGCTGCAGCGGTGAGTGCGGCCCCAGGCGGCCCTGCCGTGCACCCGAGGCCCCGGCTCTGCGGGGCCTGCCGTCTAGGGGTCGAGGGCGGCCGGCGCGTGGGCTTGGCGAGGGGTGAGAACGAGCCGGGTCGGGAGGCTGGGGAGGGGTACGCGGCGAGGCTGGGGCTGGCCGGCGCTCCGGGCGGAGCGGCGGCGACTCCTTTGTTTTCCGCGGCCGGACCGTCGGGCCGGCGAAGCAGAGGCCCGCGTCCTGCGGCAGCCCGCTGGGGCCACGAGCGCGTGGGGGCAGCAACTTGCTCGGACCCTGGCCCGCGGCTCACACCCCCGCCCCACCCTGCCCGGGGGCTGTGCTCGCCCTTGTCGCTGGTCTGGGGGCTGTAGCAGCGGGTGTGCGGTCCCACAGGGTGGTCGCGTGAGTTGCGTCCCGTCCTTGGCCGGACGGAAAAACCGCCGCTCTGCGGGGGCAGCTTTGTCTGGGCTGAGGGGAGCTCTGGGGCCCTTCGCCGACTTCCCCGGCCCCTCTTCCCTTCGCCTTGTCCGCGGGCTCGGGCACCCCGATCTACGCCGGGCGGGAGCTCTGAGCCACGGGAGGTACTCGGAACTCGGGCGGCCGAGGTCGGAGTCTTTCATCATCCGGGGAGGGTGAAGTTTGAAAACAAGCTGCAGGCTGAAACAAACGCTCGGGAGGCTGATAAGCAGCTGCTTTGGAAGGGAGGCTCGATTGCCTTTCAGAGGTTTTGGGTGTCTGAAATTGCGCTGGGAGCCCCGAGTCCTGGGCTGTAGAACAGTTATTAGGTTTATGTAATGCTTTTTGCATTGCTTAAGCAAATGAACTCCTTCAGCCGGGCCCGTTGGAAACCCCAGTGCCCTCTTATTGTCTGCTCTAGGGACTTAGGATCGCACCGGCCACAATGCTTTTGATTACTTCCTGGTAGGGCCCTGGTGCGGCCGCTAGAGTCTTTGTTTATTAGATTTGAGATGATCAACGATAGCTTGGGTTGTCGTGTAAAATTTGAATGGTGCACTTCAAAAATCTCAAGTTCATTTGAAGAAATGTAGGGAAACAGCAATGGTACGATTTAGCTGTGTGACCTTGCTCGTTATGGGCTGGAGCTGCTAAGGTAGTTTAGAGAATGCCTTAACACTTTTGACAGGTTACTTCTTAAATGGTGATTAGGTCCTTGGAGAAAAACATAGGTAACGCCACAAAGGAAAATGTGCTCTGGGATGAGGAATAGAAATAACCACGGTTCCGCGGAGCTCCCAGAGGTTTGATGCTTTGCTTGCCTTTGTAAAATCAAATTAATTTTTCTGCATGAAGCATTTAAAGATTAATCAGTCAATTGGTTTTACAATGCAGTTCTTTTATGAGGGTACAGAAACTTGGTATAAATTAGGTCTTACATACAAACAATATCTTTCACAGTAAATGTTGAGTGTGGAACAACACATAAAGTGTATCAAATTGCTTTACAAATTGGTTCTTGGTGCATTAGCTATAATTGTAGCTATAGCTGTGATGCAATAACTGTATCTTTTAATTTTTTTCCAAAAGAGATTTGAAAAAAATGACCAAAGTAAACACTAGGAAAAGCATACCTCATGAGGAATGATGAAATTACTTTTGCTCATCTGTTGTAGATAAACTACAGGAATTCAAAGTGGACAGTTAGCACACTTTTTTTTTCCTGGTGAAATCACATCAAATTTTAAAATGGCTTTACTGGGCACATGCATCTGAAAAAGGAAAAGAGTTTATGCAAGGGGCAGATATCCTCTTGTGAGTCAGCCTTGCCTTAGTCAGGGAGCCCAGTTAACTGAAAAAGAGATGCAGAAAATCGGGCATTTCCTGAGGAACTTAAGTTAAAATGGAGCATACCTAAGAGACTTGCGTCCACTACAAGAACGTGTTCAGCTGTACGGGAGGGATGGTTTCTGTCCAAGAGGTAGGATGGCACCTTTGCATCTTGCATCATCATTGGTCTCTGGCCTTGCTTTTTGAGGGTGGTTATAGTCAGGCACTTGGATTTATAGAAAAATAAAGCCAGTTTAACTTTATGTGGGTTTTTTCTTCTGCCCATATTCTGTGAATTGAACCCTGTTCATATTTGCCTGAAACTGGCCTCCCAGTTTAACCTGTTGGCATCTCTCCATTGATAAAATCTAGTGTTATTATATTGAGTTTGATCTTGTTCTTGCCTGCCTGTTGTTTTAGTGATTAAATGGTTAGTAAATCTGTGAGCCCTTAACTGATTCATCACCTTGCAGGATTATGTTAATATATTCTGTCTTATATTATATATAATATATTCTCTCTTATATTATAATATATATTATGTTAATATATTCTCTATCTTTTCCTCTTTTTTTTTTTTTGTAGAGAACCAAAAGGGTAGCAGCCTGTATGTTGAATAATGCGGTTGTGGGGTATTGAGTCTGAGTATGTTCTTATTAAAGAAAAAATAAATAAATAAATAAAATCTCTGTTTCGGCACTGGGACAATAAAAGTAATGCCCTTGCCCTGTTTTCTTTGGAATTGTACCACAGAGAAACAGTCTTAAGGCGGCCAAGCAGTTACAAACGATGGACATCCAAGGCCCTATTAGTAGCAGTTCATCCTTGGACAAGCAGTTCTCTTTCCTTTGTTCATCAGTTTCAGGATGTCACCTGTCATACCTCATAGGTTGCTGTTAGGATGAACACGAATATTTATAAAAAATGTTAAGAAACTCCTATACACTATTCAAGTAATAGGAGGATAGGTCAAAACATCTTTATAAAGAGGACTCGAACAATATCTAAAGCCCCTTAAGTAGGACCTAGGACAGACTAGCTTCGTGCTGAATTATGCTTTCCAAGGAGATATATTTCTCAGCAAAATTAGGGTGTGTAAGAAGTAATTACACTTCAGAATCAACTCGAGCTTCTGCTCTGTGGAAGGCACTTCGTTTCAGGTTATGTAGTTGCATACTATGGCTGTCCTCAAACTTTTTGTTCTCAGGACCCCTTTACACTTAAAAATTATTGAGAACCCCAAAAGCCTTTGTTTGTATGGCTCAGGCCTATTAATCTGCTGTACCAGAAATTAAAAGAGGAAAGTTAAAAAATATAGTAAATCACAAATAAAAATAATAAACCATTACCTGTTAACATGAGTGATGGTTTTCATAAAATAACTGTCTTTTTAAAACAAAATTTAGTGAGAAGAGTGGCGTTATTTTATATTCTTACAACTCTGCTATGTAGTGTAATAGAAGACAGCTGGATTTTCATATCTGCTTTTGCATTCAGTTTCTGGATATATCACACATGTACTCTCTGGAAAACTCCACTGCATACTTGTGAGAGAATGAGGGTAAAAAAGAAAACATTTTAATATTATTAGAATCGTTTGACCTCAGGTACCCCCTGAAAGGGTCTTGGAAACTCTCAGGGGTCCAGGACCACACTGTGAGAACCCACTAATATATGGCTACAGGAACAGCTAAGGACACCTGCTCTTACTAAAATAGCTTAGAAGTATTACAGAAATCCTTAAAACTTTAAGGCTAGTGACAGTTATGGCTTTGTGGAGACTTACAGAGCTTTTGAAATCTGTTAGCTGGGCAACAGATCATGGGGTCCTATAGTCCTACGCTTTCAAAAAAAGTTAGTCTAATCTGGCTGCGGAGAGACAGGAAGCTAACTGGTTAGAAGATAAATCCATGTCGTGGTTTAAGGTAAATGTTGAAAATAGCAATGTCCTAATAAGGTAAAAGCTGATTTATGTCTAATCTTTGCTAAAGGCATTCACGTTTTAAATGAAAAAGTTTTACATAAAAACTAGGACATTCTCTCAAGCTTTTTGTTGTGTGTGCATACCAGATGTTATTTTCAGAAGCTGGAGGCTTGGGTATTTCTTATTTCTGTGGCTAAAAGAGTTCAATCAGTAGCAAAAAGGGGTGGGGGTTTTACAAACTGTTCAAAAAGATGCCCTAAATACAACTGTTTTTAATAACCGAGAAAAGCCAAAGACCAAGCATTTGGACATAGGTTTGGGTTAACCAGTTAAATTAGAAATATTTTAATAGCACAGGCATCAGAAAATTTTCCTGGTTAATTCTTCAGAGTTGTGTATGCCTCTTTATAGGTTTCCAGTACACACTTCCCCTCATATCACTCAAGAAAAGTAAGTGTAGATCAAGTAAATGTTTGGGTGGATAATGGAGATAAACCTCTTTTTTGAATATCCATTTATTAGGATGGGTACTGATTAGTGAGTCCTTGTTAGTGGTAATACATTTGTAATTTGTGACAAAGGTGAGAAGTAATGTTAATGGAGTGGCGGGTGATTTTGTGTCATATTTCTCCCGCAGCATACGTCTAAAGAGGACTCTTGTATTATCAGTAGGCTAAATTTTCTAGATAGGATCAGTCATTTTTTCCCTAGGTCAAATGCATTTACTACTTTTTAGTAACACTCTCTAAAGTATTTATTAAGTGCCTAGCATATAACAGTAAAATGTGCTTAATGAATGAGGAAACTTTCTTCCATTTAGATTGTGGCTGGCATGGTCTTTAACTTTATGTTGAAAATAAATGCGAAGTAAGTGAGCTTCCCCTGAGAATGCTTTCACCAGCCCTCACTCCCAGTTATTTTGCTCTGAAAATTTTAACTGGATTGTGAGCACATGACCCTCTGCAGTGTTTTTAACACAATGAATGTGTATTCTTTTGTCATTCTGTGTTTGTATAGATGGGCAGGTGGACATTGTAGTAGTAAATGTGGATGAGGTGGTTAAAAATCAGTGGACAGGTGGTACTTTTTTCACATTAATTCTAAAGATTAATATTTTAATTTTATTCACTGTTCTGAAATACTTAAACTTTTTGGGTAATATTTGTAAACTTGAGCCAAATGTAATTGCCTTTCTAGCTTTTCTGGCAGTATTCTGCCCTCCCCCCCTCCCCCCAGAACCCCTGTTAAAGCCATATTTTCTGGCCATATTTGCATAGTCTCTAAATAATT